GGTAATTTTCTGACCCAGGCCCCTCTGGCCTTTTCCTTTCCTCTCTTTGTCATCTCGGAATCTTGGAATTGAGGCTGGCCAATCAGAGACCATATGCAAATTTCCTTCTCATGTCCCCGTTTCTGTCATGAACTCTTTCCTCCACCAGGGGCTCCTCTTGAAGCTGGCCAATCAGAGACCATATGCAAATAACACCGCTGCCCAGCCAATCGGAATCTTGGAACTTTCAGGCTGGCCAATCAGAGACCACAGTGGCAGCCAATCAGAACGCTGCCACATACACCGCCCTTCCTCTGTCCGATACAAACAAACACTCTCTTTTATTATATATATAGATATAGATTAGTGCCTCTCACTTTTGCAGCCATCCATGAAGAGCATAGGTAGATGCACTCCTCAGGGGTGAGAAAGGCAGAATATAAATACTGTAAATAAATAAATACATACATACATACATACATACATGATATAGAAGAATTATAGAGCAGGGGTTCTCAACCTGTGGGTCCCCAGCTGTTAAGATTTTGGGGAGTTGAAAGCCGAAATATCTGGGGACCCATAGGCTGAGAATCATTGGTTTGAAAGCTCACAAGGAAGGAGCTTCCACCACACTCTGAGGCAAAAAGTTCCACTGTTGAACATCTCTTACAGGAAGTTCTTTCTCATGTTCAGGTGGAATCTCCTTTCCTGTCATTTGAACCCATTGCTCCTAGTCCTAGTTTCAAGGGCAGCAGAAAGCATGGCTATTATGTCCCCTCTCAACCTTCTCTATTGCAGGCGAGACATACCCAGTTCTGTAAGCTGCTCCTCACAGGGCATGATCTGCAGGTTTGTTTAAGAAGGCAGGAGCAAATTTCTTCATCTAACATGACTTTAAATTGCATCAACTGAATGGCAACTCAAGAGAAGTCAATTTATGAAAAGGCTGCACCAACCATAAATTGGGCTCTGCTTTGAATTTTACCTCCCAGAAACTAGTAATTGCTGAAAAAAGGCATTCTGTAAACAAGAGACTCCTTTTTAGGCAGAAGCTCCCAATCCACCAGAGGTGTTCAGTCTGCATAGATGTAGTGAGGCAAGAAAAATTACAAGTTGAACCTCCCCTCTTCCTCCCCCTTCCCTCACCACCACTTCTTCTTCTTCTCTCTGCTACCTCTTTCTGCATAGAAGGCTGCTGAGGATAGATCACATTTGCAGAAGTCTGAAGATCAGATCTATGGGCACATGAATATCTAGGGCCACAGTTTGTTCACCTGCCGCAAAAAGTCAAAGGAAGCTTCATGCCACACACTCCCATTTCTTTCCTTTGTGTTGTGCAATGCAAAATCCTGGGATTTAAGCTGGTCTTCATGGCATTCTGTTATCCAAAACCGATTTCTCAGATGACCCTGTAGGATTTGAGCATTGACTCCTTCCTGGCCACAGAGATTTTGTCAAGGATTTTCAAGGCTTTGGCACATTCTCTATAAAATCAAAGTAAAACAGAAGGAGAATTAGAGTGGGGTGGGGGAAATGACTCAGGGAGCATCTAAAACAAAAGAAACGTTTATGAACAAGACTTCATGTAGTAACACATATTTTGGAACCATTTACTAGGAATACCCTGTCTCGTTCTAATAGTATCTGCCCACACTAAGTACTCTTTTTGGAAGTCAATCAGCCCAACCTGCTCAATGCAATGCTGGATCTAGATAATCTCTAACCAATGTTCCTTTTTTTGCTCTGCATCTCCCCTCCCACAAAGCTTCTTCTGTCTACCAAGGGACAGAGTAGGCATGGCCTTCCTATATCCAATGCATTGCTTAATAAGCACAATACCTGGCTAGAATGCCTCCTGTCTGTACCTTTCTTCTAAGACTCTTCTGCACCTGTGCATTGTTTATTCCCAGAGTAGAAAATGTCCTAATAACCTATAAAGAAAGGAAGAGATGTGTCAGCAGAGAGCACAAAAAAGGGGGCAGAATATAGGCAGCATGGAGATTTCTATTTCCTATTAGTCTTGCTGGAGCACTTTGGCACCACCAACCTGTACACGAACATCCACACTGGTATCCAGCTCCAGCATCTCCAACATGGCAAGGAAAACACTCGCCTTGCGAAGACCAAGGACACCCTGGTAAGAGGCAAAGGAGCAGAGTGTGACTTGGCCATTGTGGAAGGCAAATCTACTTATTTTTATTTATTTATTTATTAAATTTATATTCCAGATTTATCTACAGAGGTCATTTCAAAGCAGTTTACAATAATTTCTGCAACATTAAGCCAAAGTATTAGTTTGCAGGAGTAAAACAAGAATGAAATAACAATACTTTTTTTTAAAAAAAATGAATAAACACATTTTAAAAAGAGGAGCTTCTATCTTCACAATTATTATAATGACACTATCATTTTTTAGGACAAAAGGCATTATTTTTCTTACTGTTAATTAAAAACTGCAAGGGCCAGAGGCAAATTCTTTAGTGCTGCATGATAACAGGTTTTAGCAAGCCAATTTTCATATGCAGCTTTTAAAGAAAAAGTGTGGTGACACAGTGTTTTTTTGTTAAACACTCTTGGGTATAATGCATAAATCCAAATGTCATCAATGGCATGGGCCCTGAGACCGGGTAAAACAGAATAAAACACAACTTAAGGCACAGTTAGGCAGTAGTATGTTGAGGTATGGCAGCCAGAAATCTGCCTTGAGTCTTTCAGGTATACAATCATGAGTCTTCTTCACAACGAGTTCAAAACAGAGAAAGGGTTCCTGAAGTTGAGTGATTGTCAGACTATCCCTTAACCCAAAAGTGTGGAGCTTTTCAAAAACCATTTAATTATGCCACAATCTGAGAAAATGCAATCACTTACCAATGCAATCACAGCCTGCTTTCGAATCTGAGCTTGTTCATCCTTCAGTTGCCTATGGAGATAATGGAAACATTAACTGAAACTTTGGTAAGATGTCATTTTGTCTCTTTATGAGATTTTTAAAAGGACAACAGAATTGAATTCAGCTGATCTGTGTAAAGTTCAACCAAAGGGAAGTCTTCATTGAATTACAGAGTTGGGAAGGGCTTCATGGTCCATTGCATTCAAACCCTTGCCTGATGCAGGATCTTCTACAGGTACATGTCCAGCCTCTTTTTGAAGACATCCAGCTAACGATGCATTAAAAAAAACCCCTCTCTATAGGTAATTGGTTCCATTGCTATAGTTGTGTACTGTGAAAGGGCCACAGGTTATAAGCCCTTGAATAGGTAGCTATTTCTTTGGAACTACAAGAACAGTTTGATGATCACAATTTCTACAGCACACACTAGCCCTGAATCAAAACAAGTCACTTAGTAAACATGCAAACATAATAGAAAAGGACACCGAGCCTCTCTGGGAAATGACAGAATCCTGCTCTTGTTCTGCTTTCTAATTGCTGCCTACCATAATGGGAATAAGAAGCTCCTTGCTGAAGCTATTTCATTTGGATGCCTACATTTTCTATCTCCTTCTGTAGTTTACAGCCACATGAATGGGGAGCCACCCACCCTTTCATATGTAGTTTAAACACAGGGTGAGATTATGTGTGACACAATCACCGAAATTAGAATTCACTTACAGCCTGATTTAAACAAGTGGGTATTCTTTCACTATAGGCTCCATCTCACCCAATTGATGCATTATTTTAGGGCTACTTGTTTTGGCTTTTTGGATTTACACTAGGACTTATTTCAAAAGTGTGGATCCTATCTCTTTAGAATGAGGGACAGAAGGCTATTGGCCATTTGTTAGCAGGGTTATATCTTGGGCCCGGTCCTGTTCAACATCTTTATTATTGACTTAGATGAAGGGCTAGAAGGCATGATCATCAAGTTTGCAGACGACACCAAATTTGGGGGGGGGGGGGGATAGCTAATACTCCAGAAGGCAGGAGCAGAATTCAAAAATATTAACAGGTTAGAGATATGGGCCAAAACTAACAAAATGAAGTTCAATTGGGACAAATGCAAAATACTCCACTTTGGCAGAAAAAATGAAATGCAAAGATACTGAATGGGGGAAGCCTGGCTCGAGAGCAGTATGTGTGAAAAGGATCTTGGAGTTCTCATGGACAAAAAGTTAAACATGAGCCAACAATGTGATGCAGCAGCAAAAAAGCCGATGGGATTTTGTCCTGCATCGATAGGAGTATAGTGTCATGCTACCTCCCTATTCTGCCTTGGTTAGACCACATCTGGAATACTGTGTCCAATTCTGGGCACCACAGTTGAAGGGAGATGTCGACAAGCTGGAATGTGTCCAGAGGAGGGCAACTAAAATGATCAAGGGTCTGGAAAATAAGCCCTATGAGGAGCGGCTTAAAGAGCTGGGCATGTTTAGCCTGCAGAAGAGAAGCCTGAGAGGATACATGATAGCCATGTATAAGTATGTGAGAGGAAGTCATAGGGAGGAGGGAAGCAGGCTTGTTTTCTGCTGCCCTGGAGACTAGGACACGGAACAATGGCTTCAAACTACAAGAAAGGAGATTCCACCTGAACATTAGGAAGAACTTCCTGAATGTGAGAGCCGTTCAGTAGTGGAACTCTCTGCTCTGGAGCATGGTGGAGGTTCCTTTGGAGGCTTTTAAACAGAGGCTGGATGGCCATCTGCCAGGGGTGCTTTGAATGCCATTTCCCTGCTTCTTGGCAGGGGGTTGGACTGGATGGCCCATGAGGTCTCTTCCAACTCTTTGATTCTATGAATTAATATCTGTCTGGAGGTCTCTTTTAGCATCTTCTGCTGCCTGGGTTTTTCAAGCTGGCTTCTCTTTCCTTTAGGAATGCATAAAATAAATAACATAAAAGATTTGGAAAGGACTCCTTATTATCCTATATAAATATCCTGAGATTCCAGCTCGTAAGAATGCTTAAATATTCTGTTGATGTAGACTTTGTCTGTATGGATATTAGCATTGGTCATGAGTTGGAGACCCAAATGTCAGAAAGGTGATAAAAATGACCTCCAGACCGACAGATTAGCTAATAAATGGCAAAGAATTCCCAATCCCTTTAACAGCCTCACTAAACTACCAGCTCCAGAATTCTGCAGGAGGCAGAAATCAGATTTTAAGATGGATTTATTTCTCTAGTGTGATGAAGTGATTAGCCTAAAGAGACAGAGGCAGGAAACTATGCCTGCTTTACTCACCCTATTTTTAACAGAGTGCATGCCTGCTGGATGGTCTTGCTATTTCAAAACCATTTTTCCTCTTGTAATTTTTTAACAGTTTTATAATGCAGTTATGCCATGTCATTAGCAGACCATGATAGTAAGATTTGCTTTAAAATGGAGAATTAAAGGAGAGGGTTCTTTTGTCTTTATACCTCTTAGAATAAAAAGAGATATAGAGGCACCAGAAGCGCCTTGCAGTTTCTCAAGTCGCTCCTGACACGGAAAAAAAAAGAAGAAGAAGAAAGAAATCAACTTGAGTGTAGGAATAAAATTTTGCAACTGGTCCAGACGCTGCTAAAAAATATTCAAAGCCAACAGAAGTATTGTTTGAATTTCTTCAAAAAAAAAAAACAACAAAGTAATAATTACAATCCCCAGCACAGTTGTCCAATCTAAAGTAGTAAAGAGCAGACCAAACAAATGAATTCGTGGTCTGTGCCAGCATAACACAGTTTCCTATGTTCCTATAGGTTTTTGCTATCCAGTCATCACTTTCTCTGCTAATGGGTCAGATACTAAACTATCTGTGTCTCAAAACTATCTCACAATCATTTGAAAAGCCAGAAAAAAGAATTAGGCACAAAAGAATTTGCCTTTTTCTGCCACTTACTTCTCTACTATCTCCCAGACCTGTTTTTTCATATTCAGTTCTTCAATAGCTAAGGCCACAAATTGCTTTACCACCTGGGTGAAAATGAAGAATGTTGTTAAATACACAACATCTAGTACTGAGTAGTTCAACCTGGACCAGGACTTTGATCTGTAGCAGAGCATGAAGCAGGGTACCATATTCCCTCCCCACCCCCAGGGACATTCTTCCTTCACTTCTTGATTGGCTTAAAGTGGCCATGCGTTCAGGACCTGCAGACATAAAAACAAGCGTAAGATGGGGTGGAACTGCTTGGCAGCATGAGGCTCTTGGCTCAGGTGTTGCCCACCTGAGCGGCCATGGGTGAACCCTGGGGAGCCTACTAAGCACACACACTTATACTACAATAGCTGGATGTAAAGCAAATGTAGGCAAAAGCTTAAGGTGGGTATAACAAACTAATCAAAAAATCATGACACATACTATTACTTTCAAAAGGAGCCACAATGGCATAGTGAATTAAACCACTAATCTGCAGAACTTGCTGACCAGAAGGCCGGCAATTCGACTCCGAGGCATGGGGTGAGCTCCTGTTGTCAGCCTCAGCTTTTGCCAACCTAGCAGTTAGAAAACATGCAAATGTAAGTAGATCAGTAGGTACCGCTTCTGTGGGAAGTTAATGGTACTCCATGCAATAATGCTGGCCACATGACCTAGGAGGCGTCTACAGACAACGCCGGCTCTTCGGCTTAGAAATAGAGATGAGCACCATCCCCTAGAGTCGGACTCAACTACACTTAATGTTCTGCTTTTAGGTCTTCACCACAATATTATTGTTATTATTGTTATTGTTATTATTATTACTATCATCATCATCTGTTTTGCTCAAGAAAAACTCATATATGTTTTGCCTCTTTTATGTGAGGCAAGGACCGGGCCTGCAGTGCACCATCACACAATGCACAGTAGGTCCTACCCACATTCATCCCAAAGTGGAGAGGAAGTGCCAAAATGCACTTTCTCCTCCACTACAGGAAGGAAAATGTAGTTTAGGTAGCTCTGTCAGAGCACTTTCCTCCCTTTTTTGCCATGTGATGGCAAAAAGGGTGGCGGGGCAATGCGTGTTACCACCCTTTTTGCCATCTGATGGGGAGAGGGTGCCATAGCACCCTCTCCCGCCGCCACCATGTGATGAGGGAGGGCATATGGGGTGCCAAGGCCTGCCCCATGTGCCTTCCCTTTCACCAGTGATTGCTGTGTGAAGAGGTCCCTAATGTATGAAAAGCATTCATGGTTTATTTTCTGATTCCATTGTAATTGCTAGCCTTAATTAAAATAGATCCATAGACTAAAGAATCAATGAGATGAATCTAAGATAATTTATAATTTGCCTGATTCTAATCTAGTTGGGAACTTATCAATATATTTTAGCACTAAAGTCCAGTTCATACCTATAGCAAGCAAACCAAGTGGATCACTGGTCATATTACCATTGTTGTGGTGTTATGTTTTAACAGCAAAAACAGGGGTATTCTTGTTCAGAGTGTTCTTAAAATCATGTAAATAGCCATTCAAAGAAATTGATGGAGCCCTACACATGCAGCTGTATTCCCAGTGGAAAAAGTAGAAGAGATATATTCTCCTTTCATGATTTAAAACATTGCTTTGGATATGTGCAGAAAAATCTAGCAAAGACATTTTTGAGAGAAGGTAAAGTCCACAAATATCATCTCTTTGGAATCAAAGATGTCCTAGGGAATAAGACCAGCAAACCAAACAGAATAAAGCAGGTGTTTTATTTTCAGCCTCACCAGAAAGGGTTCCTCAGATAACTTCATCAGAAGCACATTAAACACCATTTCCTCCATGCCTTCTTGCTGGATAATCTCAAGCCCTATAGTGGTCAACAGTTGTGCAGAGTCCGCACGTAGCTAGGTGCAAACAGGTGGGAGAGAACACAAAACTGTTCAAACCATAACACACTGATTCCTTTATCCTCCTCGTCATTAAGCCTAACTTTCACTATCCTTCTCCAACTGTCGCAATCCTCTGTCATTCCACTTCTTCAGATGCTTTTAAAGCATCCTAGTCTTTCTCTCCTTCAACTTTCCCTCTTTGTCCTTCAAATACAGCAAACTGAGTTAAAAGTGTAAATTTACTTTGTACTTGAGTAATTCAGCAGGAGAGAGAAGATGGCATTTTCCCGTTCTCAGAAGGCCCATTTAAAATAAACCGTTTCAGGTGCTCCCAGCTTGGGTAGTCTTCTTCATTTATAATACCTTCCATCTTGACCACACGCTAGTGTTGCATGACCTGGTTTTCACGTGTGAACTTTTGGAGGATATGTCAAAGGGGCTATGTCTACTTCTTACATTGTGGAAATGCTACTTTTGGGAAGATAAGAAGGCTTAGAATAATCCAGTCAGGTCAGAATACCCAACAGATTGATTGGACTGAACTCTGTTTTTTCACACAAACATCCAAGCCTGCTTCCTCAAACTTTATTTCAACAACACATTTTGGAGAGAGACAGAGTTATTAGGTTATCAGTGGAGAAGCTAAAGCACATACCAATCAGATACAGATTGCTCAGAGATCCAGCATCTGATCCCAGTCAACCTTCTGCCCATTCCTTCTGTACATTATTATTATTATTATTATTATTATTATTATTATTATTATTATTATTATGTGCAGACGCCACATTTTTTTTTGCGGGGAGAGGGCAATTCTTTTTCAATATGTTCAGCTTACCAGAACTCGGAAAGGTAATAAGCGGCAAAGCCTGTATGCTAGTGAGAGCCTGACTACACAATCTGATTAAATTCTTCCTCGTGTGGGATTTTCCATTAAGTGAAGTTGTTATATTGGCCTACCCAGCCAGTCTTTAAGCATGAATTTTGAATGCATGTCCATTGTTTATTCTCCGTTTTGTGTATTTTAACATGTATTTTATAGAAATACATTTTAATACGTAGCTTTTATAGAAATACATTTTAATATGTGTATTTGTAGTATTTTTACAATGTTTATGTATTTTAATTATTCTTTAACTTCAAGCTATGAGGAAAAGCAGGTAAGAAAGAAAATTATTAATATTTGATATACAATAAGACTGATACACAGCAAACAAGATCACTATGCTGGTTTTTGTATTTGATCACACATCAGACACTTCCCAAGCATCTAGGACTGTGTGTTGATGATTATTAAAAATTATAAAAAATTAAAAATAATTATTTTAATATAATTATAAAATTATTATTATTATTATTACTATTATGCGATGTTTTCATGTTGGGCAAGGAGAGAAAGTTCAAAACATAGTTTATACCCTCCTCTCCTATACTGCGATCCTAACAAAGATTCCTCGTCAGCATCCTGTTGCCTGTTTAAATTAGAAAACAGTAAAAAAAAGTCCATTGCACTGAACTGTTTTGTTTTTTTAAAACTAAATGTGGTCAGAGTCACTTAGCAAAACAACTAAGCCAACAGACCAACAACAAATAGACTCTGGCATTTAATCAAATAACCTAAGCATCACATTGGAAAAAAAAATAGAAACAAATTTCTAAATGTAGCTCTGTGGGAAAGCAAAGAGAGTAATTTTGCCAAAAATGCAAAAGCGACTCCACAAGCCTTGGAACAGGTTCCATAAGAGTTCAACAGAACAAAAGTCACTTACCTTGTACACAGGACAATGTTGGAGATGGTGTAGAACACTCTGGATAATTTCAGCATTCATGATTTCCATGTGCTTTATAAGCATAAGCAAGGCCTGCAAAAGGAAGATGTGGATGAAGGGAGTTCAAACTCCCCAAGCGGGAGGGTGTAAACAGTCAAATTAGGTGTCATTGCAAGAAGACTCAGATAGACCAATGACATAAATGCATCTTAGAGGTAAATAGTTAGAATAAGTAATCATGATCTAGCATTTCTGATAGTGAAAGTATAAGTAAACTTATATGTTAACTTAATGAGGAGTACATTCAATAACTGTCACACTATTATATTTATAGTTACAGGGCCTAGGCCTCACTCAGTGGCAGCGGAAGAACATCACACACAGATCGGATGCTGGCTGAAGCTCAATCTTCCATTTTGCTGGTGCACTGACAATAAAGTAGATGCAAAGGAAATATGTTTTTGGCACCACTTAGCAGTTTGCAGAATTAAGAATAAGAAACTAAAGTTGCTTATTTTTGTCTACTTTGAAAAACAAAAATAATCCCAGTATTATTTTTGTGTGTGGCACATCTGTCTCCTTTTATTAGAAGCACTTTTAAATATGTGAGGAGGGAACCATATGGCAAAGCAAGGCATACTGTAGGAAATAAAGAACAAATGTACATTTTTTAAATGCACCAAGTAGAAAAACTGGGGCTGACAACAAATCCATCCTTGTCTCATTAGAATGCTGGACTGTGTTAGTTCTTCCTTCCTCTCTTTTTCAAAATGATCTCAAAGGTCTCTTTGGAACATGAAGATGCAACTTTGGTTTCTGTCTGCATTTTGACTTCACACCCACCTGACTTTTTTTCTTCCAGTCTTTCTGGGTCAAGCACATCAACATGGTCTGTTGGGAGAGCAGATTGGAGTTGTCCAGATAACCCAAGCAAAGGGCTGCATCGAAGCTTATATCATCCAATGGTTCCTGCAAGTTCACCAGCCGCTGTAGATTTCGCATTAAGCTGTTCCGGTACCCTATGCAATGTTGCTGGGGGAAGACAGCAGTTTGAGGAGAAGCATTGATCTGAATGTTGTTGTAATAGGTCCAGAGGAAAAAGGAGAGGGACTGCCATGACCACCAACAGTAAACCCTCATGTCTTACCTCAAAAGTTGATGTGAATGACCAGGCTTGCAGAGAAACCTTCAATGCAGCCAATATATCTTCTCTCTTATTCAGGGTCACTACTTTCAGATGCTTAATGAGTACTTTCATTACAGAAGTCTCTAGGCAACCTGCTCCAGAGAGATAAGTGGCATAGATCAAAGGTAAAATAAAATAATCAGGAAGCTCATGGACATCTGGGAATGCCACAAATTATCTCCTTGTGTTTCACTAGAAGACTAAGGACCTTCTAGTAAAACAGAACTAAAACATTTAGTCTCCAGAAGCATAGCTGTACTGATCTGTATCAACAAAACATCAAAAACTAATTGATATGCCAATATAAACAAGTAATTGCTTGCTAAACATACATGTACTTACAGTTTCTGCCCAGAAATCATATTCATGATCTACAACACAGCCATTCTTGTTCACTGTTCTCTAACGAAGGAAGGAGCTGAGGGCTTCCAAAGGCACGGAGTCATCCTGATCCCAAGGGGAATTATTTCATTGCCGCTGATGGAATTTAAATTTTGCTGCCTTTTGCCTTGGTCCAACATCTCTCTGTTCATCCCCAATACAATTAAAGAGTCTTCCTACACCCATATGGTGAATGGTCCTCCAAAAGCCAGAACCAATACTACTCAGGTAACCTACTTACATGGGCACCAGATATTTGCATAGATTTCCAGCAACCCAGAATCATATATTCTAATACCTAAAAAATACACATATCATAATATATGGTACAAAATGTTGCTCCCTTGGCTTAAGTCATTGCAATAATTTTATGCTTATGTTGTTTTGTTAATTTTATGCTTATGTTGTTTACTCTGTAAGCTTTGGTGATGTTACTTGTTAACAGTAACAAATGCAAGATACTCCACTTAGGCAGAAAAAATGAAATGCAAAGATACAGAATGGGGGAAGCCTGGCTCGAGAACAGTACATGTGAAAAAGATCTTGGAGTCCTCATGGACAACAAGTTAAACATGAGCCAATAATGTCATGTAGCGGCAAAAAAAGCCAATGGGATTTTGGCCTTCATCAATAGGAGCATAGTGTCTAGATCTAGGGAAGTAATGGTACCCCTCTATTCCGCCTTGTTAGACCACACCTGGAATACTGTGTCCAATTCTGGGCACCACAATTCAAGAGAGATATTGACAAGCTGGAATGTGTCCAGAGGAGCGCGACTAAAATGATCAAGGGTCTGGAGAACAAGCCCTATGAGGAGCGGCTTAAAGAGCTGGGCATGTTTAGCCTGAAGAAGAGAAAGCTGAGAGGAGACATGATAGCCATGTATAAATATGTGAGAGGAAGTCACAGGGAGGAGGGAGCAAGCTTGTTTTCTGCTTTCCTGGAGACTAGGACGTGGAACAATAGCTTCAAACTACAAGAAAGGAGATTCCATCTGAACATTAGGAAGAACTTCATGACTGTGAGAGCCGTTCAGCAGTGGAACTCTCTGGCCCGGAGTGTAGTGGAGGCTCCTTCTTTTGAAGCTTTTAAACAGAGGCTGGATGGCCATCTGTCAGGGGTGCTTTTAATGCAATATTCCTGTTTCTTGGCAGGAAATTAGACTGGATGGCCCATGAGGTCTCTTCCAACTCTTTGATTCTATTATTCTATTATTCTATTCTACTTGGAAATCGCCCTGAGTCTCCTCGGGGAGATAGAGTGGTATATAAAGTTTTATTATTATTATTATTATTATTATTATTATTATTATTATTATTATTTTATTAAGCCAGTTTCACACTTTAAAAATATTACAACAAAAGTTGTACATGAATGCAAGAATGAACAGGAAAGTCCCTGCCAGTTTGCTTGGTGATCCACCAATGGGTCTAACGCCCTTCCCCCATGCCAGCACTAGGGATCTTGAGTTATCTGACAAAAAATCCACTCACCCAGCAAAGCAAGGGATCGAGCTGCTTCATATTGCAATGGCTGATTGTTACTTTCTTGAAGCTGAAAAAATAAATAGTAATAATGAACAGCTATAAACCACTCACATGCATGAACCTCTACCTTTATACTTAACAGAAGTGGAAGGATCCCCCAGAACAATGAGATCTAACATCAAAGTGTAGTTTGTCTGCTCATCAGAGCCTCACAGCCTGAACACTCTGTGTGTACCTTAAGAAAAGGGAAAGTAAGTAGTAAGCTACTGTATATTAGTCAAGATAAATTTTAGGTTATACTGTAAATAGAGGTGTCATTACAGTTGGTGTTACTCCCAGATACATCCTACTGCACCAGACTATGCCACAATATTGATGCTAAAATACCAGAAAATATGACAAAATTAGTGACTATTTTAAAAAACCCAACAGCAATGACATCAACTATACGCACTTGTAGTGCATACGAATAAGACCACTGATTGGAGTGCATACACATTAGAACAGGCATGTCCAAAGTCCGACCTGGGGACCAATTGTAGCCCCTATTCAAATTTCAACTGGCTCTCTCTTTCCAGGCCTCCCTCCCTTATTTCTTTCCTTCCTCCTTTCCTTCCTTCACTTCCTTCATCTCTCCCTCCCATTCTTTTAGTTCATTCGTTTTATTCCTTCTTGGGGATCAGGGGCCACACATGATAATTTCCTGTTGCTAAATATGACTCCTATGTAATTTGATGCTAAATGAAATGCATGACTGTCACTGACCCAACTCGTACTCATTCTTTTCCCCAACAACACCTTTTGAAATCTTAAGTATAACAAGACAATAACAGTTCATGACGTTTTATATTTCCCTCCTCATCTCTTCTGTTATGTGTCCAGCAGTGAGCAAAGTGAGATGAGGAGTGTGATGCTATAACATCATTTCTACATAGAGAGAGACATGCATACACACAGCCTGCAAACTGGTGCATAGAGGCAATCTAGGTAATTGATAGTCTTGTTCTTGCTACCTTATATTAAAAAAATTAAACAGATTAAACAATAAATCAATAAATAAAGGTCTAATAACGATTTTTCTTCTTTTTCTGTGGCCTTTTTCCCTTTAACATCTGCTTGCATGGGCTAACTGGTGCAAACCGGTGCACAGAGGAAATCTAGATAATTGATAATGTTGTATCTACTTTGATTGTTGGTTTTCCAAGAAAGTGTTGGTTTCAGATGAGAGAAATTGTATCCAACCATTCTAAAAGTCTACAGTTAAATCCTCAAAATATTGCAAGATCAATCAATTCCATAGGTATTATATGTACTTACAAATCCCTACAAACTCCCACATCATACAATTGTCTTGATTTTTCAGAGGCAATCCTGATTAATCCCAGTTCCAGGTGCTTTTAAAAATATCCCAGTTTCAGTTTCTTCTCCCACTTTCCCATCCATCCATCATTTACTTCACTTGCTCTGAGTTCAGCTAACTAGTTTTCACTCAAAAGTAGTTTACACTCAATTAACTAGTAAGGGAAGGAGGAAAGGAGAGGAGGAGGCAGCTTTTCCTATCCCAGTAGGCTCAGGTAAAAGCAAACGGCTCCAGTTCCTTCAAGCTTATATATTCTTCCTCATCGATAGCTTTTGCCATCTAGGCCACATACTGATGTTTGTTGTCCACATATGTTTTGGTTTCCTCCTATGAAATGTTGGAGGGCAAGTACTTACAGTATTATAAAGTGCAGATACAACCATTTCTTCAGCAACACCAAGGTGCCCAAGGGCCTACAAAAACCAGCCAGAGAAACAAAGAATTATCACCAGGGACTCCTTTCACAATTCCAGTTCTAGAGAATAGACTCTAAGGAAGAATTGGAAAATATATTAAAAGCCAGCTGTTTCCATCTATATAGGTACATGATAAAGCCAAATCAGAAATTGGGGAAGTTATCATTCTGAACTAAAACTCCTAGCATGCCACAAACATTTCCCCTAACTTTCCAGAAGACAAAAAAAACACCATTCCTGCAGGCACCTGCTTCCACTGAAACAAAACAAAGCAGGTATAATAAATGTAAAGGTCCATTTGAGTTGATCTCACTTCTGTAACTTAATAAAAACACCCAACTGAACAAAGCAGGCAGAAAGATTTGAAGTGATTTTGCCAGGTATGGTTTTGCCTATATTAAGCACAATTGATAAATTCATCAACTATCTCTAAACTGATGGCTCCAAATCTACAGCAGATGAAAAACTACAGGAGACATTGCCAAATGAATGCAGTTCTCAAAACTGAGGAAACAAGTTATTTGTAAACACAGTACTAGCGGGAAACATGAAGTCTGAAACACAAAGATTATCCTCTTCAAATAAGGATTATTTCAGCTAAGACAAACATGTTCATATACAAGTAAGTCCTGCTGCATTTATCAGATCTTACCCTCCAATATTTATTTAGAATTAGATTTTTTTTCATGTCAGGAGCGACTTGAGAAACTGCAAGTCACTTCTGGTGTGAGAGAATTGGCCATCTGCAAAGATGTTGCCCAGGGGATGCCTGGATGTTTTATCATCCTATGGGAGGCTTCTCTCATGTTCCGCATGAGAAGCTGGAGCTGACAGATGGGAGCTTACCCCGTTCCCTGGATTCAAACCGCCAACCTTTTGGTCAGCAACCCATTGTGCTACTGGGGGGTCCATTTTAGAATTAGATCTCTCCTGATTATTTCATCATTTGTAACATATGGTGTCCTTTCTCTCCATCCTTCTGCTTCAATTAGGCAGAGGGGCACGAGCAGCAAATGAACTGGATGGTAGATATGAATTATGATTAATCTTCTCCAATCATATTTGGAAAGCCACATGTTTCCTATATCTACTTTACAACAATGTCTCTACAGTTATAGTTCATAGAGTCCAATTCATTCTGTCATGCAGAAATACACAAAGCATTCAGAACAGATGACCATTCAGCCTCTGTTTAAAACCCTCCAAGAGCTGCATATTCCACTGTCAAAAAGCTCTTACTATCAGGAAGCTTTTCCTAATATTTGGATGGAATCTCTTCTTCCCCCAAGCTACCACTCCCTCAATGTAAGAAACAAAGGAAGACATGCAGATACTCACTATGTTTAAAAGCCTGCAGAAAAGAAAACTACACCACACTCAGAAGCTACACATTTCATTATTCCTTGTTTCCAGAAAAGGGCTTAATTTACACTATGATTTCTGACCCAGAAATTTAACTTTTATTATCATCAGAGTCGCAGCTTTTACTTTGTCTGGGCACCTGTGTACTATTCTTGTTTAAGTGTTGAACTGGGGTAAATAAAACAGACTCTAGACCAAATGAAGAACACTTAATGTTACCTGAGCTGCATAGAGTTGTTGAAGTTCCACAGGGGAAGCCAAGTACTTTATGAGAACCTGTAGGGACATAGAATTGGAAAACATTGATGTATTAAGAAGAGAAAGAATCAAAGTACGTGATGGATTACATTTATCTATAAGTGGAGCTGAGTAACATCTCAAGAAAAAAATACAGGGAAAAGCTACAATAATTATCTAACCAAACCATAAAACTATGACCTTAAGCAATATAGCTTTTGGGTAGATAACAGGTCCCCTTCTGCCATGGGAATTGTGTGGTCCTCCAAAGAAAAAAATGGACTTAAGTTTTCAACAAATCATAGTCAGCCTAGCCAAAGGTAAAAATTATAGAAAGTTGAAGTCCAGCATCATCTGAAATAAAACTTTATTTATATTCCGCTCTATCTCCCTGGAGGGACACAGGGAAATACTGATTCCCATCCCTGGGTTATAAGATGGGTTTGTTTGTTTTTTTTGTCGTGTCAGGAGCGACTGCTCCTGTTGTGAGAGAATTGGCCGTCTGCAAGGACGTTGCCCAGGGGACACCCGGATGATTTCTGATGTTTTATCATCCTTGTGGGAGGCTTCTCTCATGTCCCCGCATGTGGAGCTGGAGCCGATAGAGGGAGCTCATCCGCTTCTCCTGGGATTCGAACCTGCGACCTGTCAGTCTTCAGTCCTGCCAGCACAGGGCTTTAACCCACTGCGCCACCGGTGATGGTGGCGACCAGTGATGGTGACAGTAGCACAAATATACATTGTTGTTGTTCATTCGTTCAGTCGTCTCCGACTCTTCGTGACCTCATGGACCAGCCCACGCCAGAGCTCCCTGTTGGCCGTCACCACCCCCAGCTCCTTCAAGGTCAGTCCAGTCACTTCAAGGATGTCGTCCATCCATCTTGCCCTTGGTCGGCCCCTCTTCCTTTTGCCTTCCACTTTCCCCAGCATAATTGTCTTCTCTAGGCTTTGCTGTCTCCTCATGATGTGGCCAAAGTACTTCAACTTTGTCTCTAGTATCCTTCCCTCCAATGAGCAGTCGGGCTTTATTTCCTGCAGGATGGACTGGTTGGATCTTCTCGCAGTCCAAGGCACTCTCAGAACTTTCCTCCAACACCACAGCTCAAAAGCATCTATCTTCCTTCGCTCAGCCTTCCCTATATGGTTGTTATTACAGTTAAGTGTTATAAAATTGACTTCAATTTATGGTAATCTCATGAATGAATAAACTCCATGTCTCCCTCTTGCTTGGGTCTTACCCGAATAAATTCCTGATAAGATTCATAAAGTCAAGCTGTAATCCTATATCTTCATCTGTGTGAGGGCCCTTCCAGGCATGCCCTATATCCCAGAATCTGATCCCAGGTTTTCTGTTTATCCCAGATTATCGGTGGGGACTCATATAATCCAGTTTAAAGCAGAAAACCTGGGATCAGATCCTGGGATGTAGGGCCCTAAGTAAGACCCATTTAATTTAAAATTACTTGCATTCATGTAGATGAGCGTATGTCCGAATTTAGACTCAGATTTATACCTATAGAAGGGATGGATGCAGCTCTCCAGGTGCTGTTGCTCTGCAACTCCTTGCTGCTCTTAACCACTAGCTATAGGAGTTGCAGTTCAACAACATGTGGACGGCCCTACCATTCCCACCCTGAATAGTGAAATAACCTGATTCAGCAAACTTTTGGCTCTATCCCTTCTACATTGGCAGTCTAGAGTTCTGTTTCTGCTAAAGCAGTCGTCTCCCATTTGCATTTTTTGCTATTTTCCTTGCTTCCAAATGTTGCTATTAGGATGACCAGTGCACAAGTGAGTAAAATCTTACTTATTTTGTAAAATGTAAATTCATCAAAACTGTCTGTTGCTTTGCTCAATAATATGCTGCACACCATTTCTGAGATCAATGTTTTGTGCAGCAAATCAATAAATTATTTAGTGGCTGTGTCCATGTGTCCAATGGCTCTAATCATGTAGCCTATTGTGGAAGAGAGCTTATGTTTTGGATGCACGCTGAAGAAAAAAACAAGTGATATAAACAGGTAATAAACCAGGAGACACACTAAGAACCATTAACAGTTGAGCTAAATTGGAATATATAAGTTTTGCCACATTAATCTACATCAGAGATGGGCAGCATCTGGCTCTCCACATGTTGCTGGATTTCTATCAGCCTTTCCTGAAATAATCAGTGGTGACTGCTAATAGGTTTTGCAGTCCAACAACATTCCCAATCTCTGATCTACAGCAATGGAATCAAGATTCCCAATGATGGATGCATTGTTACAAATCATAGCTTTTGTTTAACATCTGACCTTGAGCCTTTCTGCTTTCTGGTCTTCCTCCCAAATGCCGATCTCTTTCTGTTTAATCTTTGCTACCTTGACAAACTTGGAGAGAGAAAAATCAGATCTGAGGGAAAGAAGAAACAACGTCATGGCTATAGTGACATGTACCTTGATTACCTCTCAGTTGGATAACTGCAATGCACTGAACATGCGGCTGTTTTGGAAATTGTTTGGAAATGACATCAGGTCCAAAATGCTAAGCTGTGTTGCAGACTTGAGGTGGGCTGCATAGAAGACAGGACTCCAGTCCCACCTTGCAAAAACCTCACTGACAGGATTGTGAAGAGCTCCAAAGGAAACTGAAAATAAAACAGTCAACATCACACTGTACCCATATGAGACCACAGTGCAGTTAGTTACATCAAATACAATGTATACTTCAGGTTGTGGCACTTTAAAGAAAAAAGATACTTTAGAGATGGAAAAATGATAAAAAAGCAGGCTTTGGGGAGGTTGTGGGTGGGATTTGGGTGTGGGGAGCTGTGAGGGTTAAACTGCTGAGCTGCTGAACTTGCGGACACAAAGGCCGGTGGTTGGAATCCAGGAAGCAGGGTGAGCTCCTGCTGTTAGCCCCAGCTTCTGCCAACCTAGCAGTTTGTCCTTATGTCCTGTGGTTGGGCTTTCCCATAGGCAACTGACTGACCATTGTGTGAACATATTGTTTGACTAGATAGGCCTTCACATTGATCCAGCTTAGCTGTTCTTATACTGCTCCATTAACAAAACTTAAAATGCTAGTTGGGAATGAAACCCGATTAAATTGTGGAAATGTGCCCTACATAGACAATTTGTTTGTCACATCCAAGCATAAACATAATAGAGCTGGCTCTTAATATCCACTGAGGTTTGGTTCCAAAATCTATGGATGCAGAAATCTCATTATATACAATGGTATTTGAAAAAGGTTTTCCTTATATACAATGGCAAAATCAAGGATTGCTTTTGGGATTAAAAAAAACATTTTCAAGCCTGGATGGTGGGATCTGTGGGTGCAGAAACAGTTGATGTAGAAAATGTGGATACAGAAGGTTGAGTAAATATATTATTACACAAAATAAGACAAACATGCAAAGCTGCTCTTTAAAAAAATACAGGATTTGTGATATGCTACCACCACCTACTGGATATTATGAGAAACGCAAAAAGGTAAGTTTTTGATAACAGGAGTCTCAATTTTATACTGTTCACACTAGCCAATATACATTTTGGTGCCTTAAACGTTAGATCTGTTCCAGCTATAATTGACATTTTGATTCCAAAAATGGCATCAGTTTTCCCCTTTCAGCTCTAGTTTTTGAGATAGAGACAGAACATATAACATGACAGTCTTCAGATGGATCTATACTGCCACATAATCTAGTATCTGATCCCAGTTTATCTGCTATGATCTGGATTATATGAGTCAACAATGCCAACATTTCATCTGCTTGCCCATAAAAAATCATGATAGCCATATGTAAAAAATTAGGGCTGATGCAGTCTATCCAATGCACTTTTCTGAATCAGTGCCCTAAATAATCCCAGGAACAAACCTAAAAACCAAGACACCAATAATTTTTTTGTTGGGCTGTGTGGTAGCAGTATGAATTGAACTTTAATTGCCATGACAAGATCTTGGATCCTAGGGCTGGGACTTTAATCAGAAACAACAGAGGAAATGCCTGGCTGGGAACTCTAGAAGTCCCTCTCTAACATGTACATTCCAGGATTCCATGGGATTGAACCATAGCAATTGTCGGAGAACCGTAGTGCTATAACAATGAAGAAATTAAAAGGTCCATGGACAAATGAAAAGGGCAGGTGGGTGTCTTCACATGCCTCAAAGTGAAGATAAGGAAACAGATATATAAACAGAATCCCTCCTCCTGGAAAGAGTGGCATGCAGTACTGAACATGTTTTACCCTTATATCCCGAGAGAGAGGGAAGGATGTGTGCTCAAAGTTTAAAAGGTTTTAGAGAGCGGCAATAATGAATGCAAGGCTTAAATGGTGTTATCTAAGATGGTAATCCAACCTTAATTTTAAAGAAAAGAGGATAAATCTCACAGGGAAGCCCAGGCCTAAATCCAGTTAATACTCCCATCTAGGAGAGCTTAATTAACGGGAACCTGGTTAAATAACACATACCAGAACTTCTGTTGATTCAATGGATGTGTTCCAGCTAGGACTATTGATTGGATTGAGACCTTGAAATGTTTGGTTCAACTTCAAGCACTGTGTGGGATTTCTGCATTATTGTTTTGTTATGTTACAATATTGTAAGAGAAACAAATTGGACTAAAAGGTCAATTTAATTTTATTTCATCAAGAACAATTCCTCAAAACTGTATCTTGCCTGAAAACTGAAAAATATTTCAAGGTCTAAACAAAACATGTTTTGAACTATTCATTTGCTTTATTCCCACACCTTTATTTCTGATCCCTTTTGAAGAACTATTCTCTTCTTTGGGAGATAGGCAGTTCTAGGATCCTACATACTTTACAGAAGTATAATTTTAATGCATTAGAGTCAGGATAATCAACATCCCATTTTAAAAAGTATTTTCTATTTAAAAACAGCTAATAATAATTTAATGTATTTGTTCTGATCAGCTTTCACTGTAGAGATGGAATGCATCTTACTGCTTACCTTTTCTTCATGGCCTTAATTTTCTCCTTCTCCAGCTTCTTTCGATACATACATTGCTTCTTCAAAGTTGCTGGATCTGGCTGCTCAACAATTCTGGGTGGGATGAAGTGTGGCTCAGGTTCATATGTTCTCCACAGTGATGGGCTACGTGGGTAAGTAATGTGTGGAGTCTAGGAAGACAAAACAAACAATCAACACTGCAATAGTCACAAAGCAAAGTACATCTAACTGTTAGAAACCTAGCACAATTCTGAACTAAGGCAGCCTTCCTCAAAATGCTTATTCTAAAGCATAACCCTTAAGCATTTTCACTAATAATAATTTAGAATGCCTTTCCAAATTCTTGGAATGCCATTCTGGAAGCTTGTTGTCCCATAAGGGATCAACTATGGATCTGTGCCTTTACATCCCATGTTGATTGATGGTGTCCCTATACATTTAATAGAGTTTTTGGAGGCTAGCAATGTTCAGTTGTGGTTTGTCATGGTCTCCTCTGAAATATAGTCTACAGCACCTCCTATCTTTGTGTTGGTCCCCCATTCAAATATGAGCAAGGAGGGGAAATGAATTCTCACCACCATGCAAGACCTCCAGTTTCCAGTATTGTAGTAACTTTGAAAATCTAGTGAACACTCAAGAGATACAGTTTGAGCATCCAAAGAAAAGTGGGAGGCAAAGATACCAAGGGAATGAAAAAACTGCATATAGGAGGGTTCCGGATGTGGGTATTTTCAGTGACTGTAATTCTAGAAATCTGGAGACTGAAATAAAATCTCATTCTTACTGAGTGGGCAATGTCCTCATTCTCCCCACACATAGCTACAGCTTTGTGCCTTCCTGTAGCTATCCTCCTCCACAAGCTTCATGAACTCCAGCTGAGCATTCTTGCAGTATTCAGACAAAAGACAGTACCTCATGGAAAGCAAAGAACTCCTGCCAAAAAGGAGTAGGCACATATGATAGGTTCTAGAGACCATTTTGGCTACTACAACTCCAAAGAAGTCACACTGAGCCATTTATGTGCCTGAAATTCGCAAAAGGAGGTCAGAACTAGTTGTAGCTTCCTTCTCTATCCAGAGATTTTCAGGGACCTTGAGAGACTGGATGATGATTGAACATTACTACTCACTGTTGCACTACTCCTGGAGCATTCCAGAAGTGACAAGGAATTAATTGTGAGGCAATAAAATTTTATTCATTTTAATTTGGAGAGTCTGGAGATTGGAGGCGAGGTTGGGCAAAACCTATAAGGTTCCATACCTCTAAGGCTAGGTACTATCTAGTTCATAGGTTTCTCAATTCCCAGCTTAGTCTACAGAGACATACAGAGTTTAAATTGGAGCAGTTTCAATTTTCTAGTAGGAAATTAGTGAAATATCCATTGTTAAGACAAAGAAGATATGTGCCTAGAGAAGCCATATATATATGCTAGGATGAAAAAGGGAAAGTAAAGTTCACATATAGTGAAATCAGGTTTACAATTTGAGTAAATTCTGACAGTGTTTGGTGGAGTTGAATTGAAGGCAAGTTGAGGATCTACTGTTACATCTCTGGGCCCTTCCTCACAGCCCTATATCCCAGAATATCAAGGCAGAAAATCCCACAATATCTGCTCTGTTATCCGACTCCACAATCAGATAATGTGGGATTTCCTGCCTTGATATTCTGGGATATAGGGCTGTGTGGAAGGCCTCTGGGCCCTTTCACACAGCTCTATTCCCAGAATATCAAGGCAGAAAATCCCACATTATCTGATTGTGGAGTCGGATAACAGAGATCAAAGCAGATATTGTGGGATTTTCTGCCTTGATATTCTGGGATATAGGGCTGTGTGGAAGGGCCTTTGAGCGTTGTACAACAAATCTGCAGGTTTCTGGCTGTAATAAGATATTATTATTATTATTATTATTATTATTATTATTATTATTATGCTGTCAGAACTGAGGTATATGAGGTGATATGAAGGGTACATCACTAAATACCCCAGGCAACTCAGTTTGTAAACTTGAACTCCTATGAAGTCTACATTTCTGCCAACACTTAGATAAAAGAAGCTACCAGATATAGCCTCACTTGAGAACAGAGATGTCCATGTGACATGTATTCTCAGAAACTACAGACCCTCAAATTCCTGCAGCATGGTAGCTTCCCCCAACCTGGAGCTTTTAAGATGTGATTAATTACATGTCCCAACATCCTTAACCAGCATGGATATTAGCAGTGCTGCAATATGCACTATAGCATTCAGCCGGCCCCATTTCCCCCTTCTCCTGGCATTAGTCTTGGCCCAGCCCATTCCAAATAGTCCAGGCCCCTTATTGAAATCTTGGCTCCTGGCAGCTTACCTTGCACAAAGAAGAGAGCGGAACTGGTTTTAAATTTATTTTAATATATATGTTGTGTTAACAGTTTATGCCTATGTTTTTGTTTTATATTGTATGTTTTTGCATTATTTTGCATATGTGGAAACTGCTCTGAGTCCCCTTGGGGAGATAGGGTGGTATATAAATATAAATAAAGTTTAAAAAATTATTATTATTATTATTATTATTATTATTATTATTATTTTGCTAGTGTAAAATAGCATTCCCAATAGTAAGGCTCAAACCAGAACCAAGTTCCATCACTGAAAGTTGAAAGGCAGATGAAGACTGACTTCTCTTTAAGCAGGGTTAGTTACAGCAAATGGAGGAGGACACTGAAACACCAAACAAAAACAGTGGGGCCCTGCTACCTTTGAGTAATCCTGAAACATTTCTGTGAGCTTCAGCAAGGAGTACCTGGTGAAAGGAGATTTTTGGCATCTTCGACTGGACAGACAACCTGGCCGCTGAAGGAAAAGAAAAAGAGAAGCATCCACTACTGATGAGGAGATATTGGAAAATAGATATTTACTTATGTATAAATTATATGTACTTTACAAGCACTGAAATGTCTAGAAAAATCAGGCTCTCTCTGTATCAGAAATCCAAGCTGCGTCCAGGCACAGCAAGAGGGAGAGGAACATTCCAGGGGAGATAAGCCTATCCTAGTAGCAACAGAGATTGGTACAACTAGGCTCTAAGAGAGGAGGAGCCTATATCTCCCTCATTACAGGTCAAAGTAGGCCCCTTGATTGATGAATGTAAGCTGTATGCTGCTCTTCAAGAAAGAAATACACAGACATGCCTTTTGTATGTTGGAAGATAGAATTTGATATTCCTATGATGCTGAAATGACGCAGAGAATGACGTCAATGTATGTAGACGCATGTTCTTTGTTTGCCTGCAATTGGAGGGTATAAAAGTCATAGTCAATGCCTTTATCATTTGCTCTGGATGCTTTTGGACACAGCTCCACTCCAGGGTAGCAGCTGGAAATAAAAGCCATACTTTTCTGACCTCCTGAAAGGATCTCTCTTGATATAATCCCTCCTATAATATGCTGCAACACTACTATTCAGAGTGGTTACTTCTTTTAGTAATCAACATTCTACCAGAAAGAACAATTCAGTAGCGTAAAATAGCATCCCCAATAGTAAGGCCAAACCAGAACCAAGTTCTAGTTGCAAAGTTACATGTGTAAAAAGTGCTATTGTCCTTATATCCTGTTTATGGCTTTCCCAGAGATCTTGTCCTTGAGTTTTTAAATAAAGGGAAGGGGGATTTTTCATTATTTGGAGGTTCGAGGCTACAAGTCCCATAGGCTCTTATCCCTGGCAATGTATACTGGGGGTTGATAACTGAAATATCTGTAGAATCAAAGATTTTCCAGCCCATTTTCATCACATGCTTTTCAGTTTAGTTAAGAAGGGGACATATAAAAAAGTACATGTGGGATTGCAGCCTAAGAGATTCATTGCAGCACAAGCTTTAGGTCTTTGAAGTGATTCAAGTCATTTTTGTTGCTGTGCTTTTCGATATTACCAAAGATTGCTTCTCTATATTGTAGTGTTTCATCATCCAACAAAAAGTAAGAGCCAGCAAAAAAAATATGAAAATAAATGAAAGATGTCCTTTAAAAGAAAAGTCTAAGGAGACACTTCTTCTTTATTTAAAGCAAATACAACATATACTGTAATGAAAATGTATGAAACATCATGAAGGGCTGAGTGAGAAAAGTAGGAGCGAAATCTCCGGGCTTCTGCAGACATGAAACACCCCACACATAATTTGTTACAAAAATCAAATTTGATATCTAAACATCCCAGAGAGAGTTCTCCCATAGCATCAGCTTTTCTCTGAATATATTTAGAAAATTAATTTGTCTTTCTTCATTAAGGATCGTGTATGTCACAGGGTGACCCTTGAAGCAGGAGCTGCTCATATAATAACCAAAGAAATCATCCGCTCGATACTGTTTCACAAGCCTCACCTTTGTCTTCTGGTCTCTCAATCATGATGCCCCATGATGAGACTCGGGGCATTTTGGTACTAGAAGTCATCGCTGGGAACATCTTTGACCCACCCATCTTTGAGAGCTTTCACTGCAGGTGTGGGGCTTGACCTACAGAGTGGCTGGTGGACAGGTTGTCAAACATTTGAGTATTTATTCCCTGAACTGAGAGTGAATAGTGATGTCATAAACCATTTCTATGATAAAGCCTTTATTTTGCATGTATGACCAAACATAACCCCAGAGTGATGATAGCTCAGCTCCAAGTATTTGTGGATGGTACTAATCATTTTAATAATAATAATATTTTATTCGTATACTGCTTTTTCTCCCTGAGGAGACTAAGGGCAATTACCGACAGAAAAACGTACAAAATAATAATTACAAGACATAGACATAATACTATATAACAGTCGTACATACAGTAGAGTCTTGCTTATCCAACATAAACAGGCCAACAGAATGCTGAATAAGCAAAAATGTTGGGTAATAAGGAGGGATTAAGGAAAAGCCTATTAAACGTCAAATTACGTTATGATTTTATAAATTAAGCACCAAAACATATTTTACAACAAATCAACAGAAAATGCAGTTCTGTTGGTCCCAATTTAGGAGGCAAACCCTGGCAGTGAGACCAGAAGAAGCCTGTTGGCAGAAATTCAGACAAGTGATAAGTCTGAGCTGCCCCTTTTCTGTGGGCCCCTGCTGTGGCAAGCATACAGATCAGCCCCAATAAAAATCATCCAGCAGCAAGGTGAGGTTGCTTGCCATAGATGCAGGTGAAACATCAGGAGAGAATGCCTCTAGAACATGGCCATATAGCCCGAAAAAAAAAACCTACAACAACCCAGTGATTCCGGCCATGAAAGCCTTAGACAAAACCAGGAATTTCAAAAACTATTTAAATAGCACATTTCAGGAACAACACATAGATCAATTAAAGAAACAGAATTGGCTGTCTTACAATGCAATATATATGGTATTATCTTATGCCCACATTGCTCATTTTCATTCAACATTGAGCAAAATGCCAATTTCTTTGGGAAACAATATATGGATATAATTCTGATATTCAAAGATTTTCCTCATATGACATGGTTTCCAGACTTTTTACCATTTTGATCGTTCTCTTTTTTTATATATCAAAAAGAGTGCTATAGAGGACCCTTTCCTCTTAAGAACAACGCCCACCTGAAATACTTATCCTTTTTTACCTTCATGAAGAAATTTTATGATATATGAAAACAATGTGCATATATCTATGTGCATATGAATATACAAGCACACACTCATCTCCCTTTATGTTAACAAGGGATTGTTTTATGGTCAGCCTGAAGAAGAATTTGTTCCTATTAATCCAGACAAGAGAGTTCTGAAGCCAAAACAACCACAAAAAAACCCGTGCCTTGCATTTCTATACACTACTGCTTACAGACCATTAAATTGTGAAATAGCTACAATGCCCGGGGATTTGTTGCTTTATGTAATCCTAATTATAACAGCATAGAAATACAGTGTAAACACACTGAAAACCTAAAGATCTTTGTACTTTTAGCATTCTGAGAATTTTCACTTAGAGGTCTAGTCCACAGACGCCTGTACAGGCAGTCCCTGAGTAACAAACATCCAACTTACAAATGACTCATAGTTAAAACAGGAGTGCGAGAACAGGAAGTGAAAGAAATCTACATTTTGGATGGGAAATTTACGGGGAAAAGGTGTCTCTACTGAAGCTTTATAACCAATCCTTGTTTCCATAATAAGCTTTTTTTTTTCAAAATCCAATTATCATAATGACAGAGAGATGAAATCTTCTGAACAGGGGCACAGGCAACAACAAAAACACAACAGGTGTGTTAACCCTTCCCTATTCGATCCAAAGCTAAAAGATATCCTTTTTCCCCAAAAACAAGACAGTGTCTTATATTAACTTTTGCTCCCAAAGACGTGCTTGGTCTTATTTTCAGGGAATGTCTTATTTTTCCATGAAGAAGAATTCACATTTATTGTTGACCCCCCCCCCCCAAAAAAAAAACCATTTATTATATACTGTACAGTAGCTGTCAGTATATAATAAATGTACTGGCCTTCACACACAAGGCCACAAAAAATAAGGACTGTAAAGTACCTGACTCCCACGCAGCTTTTGGGGTTCCCACAGCAATTCCTGGACCACTTGTACAGCAGGGACAGTACTGCAGCTTCTGGCCACCAGGGGGATCATTCTTCCAAACAAAAAAAATTCTAGGTCTCACTTTCGGGGTAGGCCTTATATTTATCAATTCAGCAAAACCTCTATTACAGGGTTTATCAACCTTCCTAATGCCGCAACTCCTTAATTCAGTTCCTCAAGTTGTGGTGACCCTCAACCATAAAATTATTTTTGTTACTACTTCATAACTGTAATTTTGCTACTGTTATGAATCGTAATGTAAATATCTGATATGCAGGATGTATTTTCATTCACTGCACCAAATTTGGCACAAATACCTGATACACCCAAATTCGAATACTGGTGAGGTTGGGGAGGGGGTTGAATTTGTCACTTGGGAGTTGTAGTTGCTGGGATTTTTAGTTCACCTACAATCAAAGATCATTCTAAACTCCACCAATGATGGAACTGAACCAAACTTGGCACACGGAACTCCCATTACCAACAGAAAAAACTGGAAGGGTTTGGTGGACATTGACCTTGAGTTTAGGAGTTGTAGTTCACTTACATTCAGAGAGCACTGTGGACTCAAACAATGATGGATCTGGACCAAACTTGGCATGAATACTCAATGTGCCCAAATTTGAACACTGGTGGAGTTTGGGGGAAATAGAATTTGACATTTGGGAGTTGTAGTTGCTGGGATTTAAAGTTCACCTACAATCAAAAAGCATTCTGACCCCCACCAACGATAGAACTGGGCTAAATTTCCCACACAGAACCCCCATGACCAACAGAAAATACTACCAACAGAAGATACTACCTCACTACCTCTGAGGATGCTTGCCATAGATGCAGGCGAAACGTCAGGAGAAAATGCCTCTAGAACATGGCCATATAGCCCAAACAAAACCTACAACAATCCAGAAAATACTATGTTTTCTGATGGTCTTTGGTGACCCCTCTGGCACCCCCTGGCAACCCCCTTAGGGGTCCCAACCCCCAAGTTGAGAAGCACTGCTCTACTAGGTCTTATTTTCAGGGGATGTCTTATTTCAGGGAAACGGGGTATATATTCAGCTAGAGTTACACTTTAAAAATGGACCTGTTCCAACTTACATACAAATTCAATTAAGAATAAACCTATCTTGTTCATAACTTGGGGACTGCCTGTACTTGAGTTAAAATACGCTTAAAGAAATCCTTCATCTTTACTACTCATGGATAACAGGGCTGGCCCAAGGCATATTACTCCAAAAGACAAAATAATAGCCCACAGGCAGTGGCACCTCCATTCTTAATGTAGAAGTAGACCTGACTGACAGCTGAATCTCATTACAGGACAGGAATTGGGACCAGATATTCCACCCACAGCACATAAAAGCTGTGTCTTTGAGCCTGTCAGTGTCTTTTGCATGAGACAACTGACTTACTCTGCATAATGGTCCTGCATAGATAGGGCAAAGACTGAGTGGACGTGTGTAGTCACTGTTGGTGTTCTTATTTAATAACTTCCCATATCTCAAAGGATTTTTAAGGACACATAAAAACACATTTAAGAAAAAAAGATAAATGATAATATTTTAAATCTAATTCTGAAAGCATAATTCTTAACCAAAGTGGCACATTCAGTTTAGGAAGGTTCAGTCAAAGAGATGGGTCTTTAATGGTGGAACATAGAAGATGAGACAAGGTACATCTACCCTGTAAAATTAATGCAGTTTGACGCCACTTTAGTTGTTATGGCTCAGTGCTATAGAATTCTAGGAGTTGTAGTTTAATGAGGTACCAATCCTCTTTGGCAGAGAAGGCTAAAAGATCTTGCAAAACTGCAATGCCTAGGATTCTGTAGCAATGAGCCATGACCATTAACATGATGTCGAACTGCATTAATTCTACAAAGTAGAAAGTCCACTTCAAACCTGAAACATCATACTAGCCAAAGTGGATGGCTAAAGCAGAAGGAGCTGCTACTAATAAAGCTGGGAGCCCTTCCATACAGTCATATAACCCAGAATATCAAGGCAAAGAATCCCACAATATCTGCTTTGAACTGGAATATATGACAGTGTGGACTCAGATAACCCAGTACAAAGCAGATATTATTGCAGAGAGAATATTTCCAGATGATCTGACCTCAATCCAGGGTTAAAGTTGGAAAGGGGGAGAAATGTATACTAGATATACTATGGAGAGCAAGCAGGAAGATCTCCAGCTTCATCTGCCAGAGAGGATATTTGAGAGCTTACTGAGCTATTGGTGGAAGGCTGCAGTTCTTTGTGGCAACCTGCAAAGTATCTGTAGTGATTATTTGCCCATGAGACAGTGCCCATTGGTTTCTGACTGGTAACAGTGCTTAATAAAGGCCTCTTTTTATACCTTAACTTCCAAAATCCCCTGGCTAGTGCTCTTGGCCTGTAGTCCAAGGTCTGAATAGTAATATTGGGCACATCAGAATCAGAGGGTCAGTTATTTTGTGACAATGTGTTTGGTATTCAGACATGTTGTTTATGAGCATGTGTGATGTTTTAAAAAGAAAAACAAAGAGGAAGTTGATGTGTGACAAAATTAGGGTTGCTGGGAGGCTATTGAACTGTGAAGCTTGAGGCATGAAATGTACACACACAACCATTTGCAACTACTGAGTCATCCTTATATAAAGCACTTAAGGTAGAGACAGGAATAAGTGTTTTAAGAGAGCTGGAAGACAGAATCATAGACTCATAGAGTTGGAAGAGACCTCGCAGGCCATCCATTCCAACCCCCTGCCCAGAAGCAGGAAAATAGCATTCAAAGTACCCTGACAGACAGCCATCCAGCCTCTGTTTAAAAGCTCCCAAAGAAGGAGCCTTCACCACACTTGGGGTTAGAGAATTCCACTGCTGAACGGCTCTCACAGTCAGGAAGTTCTTCCTAATGTTCAG